GAGAACGATCGACTTTTACGACGTTGAGCCAATCAAAACCGGAAGCGTGCGTAGCGTTTTCGCGCGTCGTATTCGATTTGGCGGAGAAAGTACGTTGACAATTTCCTATGTTGTAGATTATGCGATATATATTCGCGGTTGGTAAGCTAACAGTTCCGCAATATTTTCACCTGGTATGCGACACGTAGTGTGGAGTACTGCAGTATTTCAGTTAGGTCGGGCTGCGCTTTGAACCGTTGCCAGCAACGTCTTCCTCTTTGTCATCCTGGTTTTACCTCTTCGTTGCTCGAGCCTTCTGTAACCTCGTCTCTTCGTATTCGTTTCACCTACAGGTATTCTAGGTCAAGTGTGTATTTTAATGATCAGCGACGTTGACAAAGATTTTTTCGAGTTGCACGAGGACCCGGAGGGATCGAAGCCGCGTGGGCGAGCGATCGTCCTCTGTCGATCTTTGCACCCACCGTTCCTTTAACAATTTTTTTTACAAACACCGTTGCCAGCGTGCCCTACTTCTCCTTTCCAGTTTATCGTACGAGCAATCCTATCTTGCCAAATGAAAAATCTTCGTCCTTCTGATCCACAAATTTTCGTTGATAAAACATTCGAGACCCACTTATCGCCTTGCAAAGTTTACATATGCCAATCGTCGACAGATCGTGTCACCCGGTGGATGTTGCAGACCAGAAAAAGAGTTGAAATTTGTTAGACAGTAACGTTGGAAAGGGATAATACCGATACGCCAGACGGTGCTCGATGGCATCGTCGTGTCATTCGACCCAGTCTAATAAGATATACATATTAAATGGAGATCTCGGTGACGCGAGCGCGATCATTACCGTTCTCTTAATACGAGTTATTCGCACGTGTAAAAACGGAAATTCTCGAAGAATCCGCACACGGAGGGCACTGTCCTTAATGCATTGCATAACGCAGCCTCATTACGGAATCCTCGGTGGCGCCTCTATTTTTGCACCAAGACTACCGTGCCTGGCGTCCAACCGTTTTACGATTAATTACTGGAATCTCTGCGCTGCTCCGTGGCTCCTGACCGACGACGCCGATCAACGTCCGCGCTAGACATCTAGATTTTACAGTCTCTTTAAATGCGAACCCGTCCAATAACGAATGCTTATCGTCGTTCAACGGACCTCCCGCTACAAACCCAGCGAAATTGATTTCATTTGCCAACTCGACGACCGACAGTCTTGTCTTTGTTAACCGTCTCTCGGTCTGTTTCGCGCCTTATTCGGAAATACCAGTCTCACTTCTAATTTTCTGCTCCGATAGTGAATTCGTATCGTCAACTGTTCGCTTACGAAGCGATCTTGGAGCGTATCATTTTTATATTATGCGTCTCTTGTTTGTCCTACGAAGGCATATTTCGATTTCGATTACTTACTTCCGATACTCGTACATTAATTTTGGTAAAAAATTTCAATTAGGATCAATTTTATCTAAAATTGCACTCGATAAGGCGTTATCGTTTAAATGGAGTTGAATCGTTCGATACAATCTTGCAAAAGAACGAATAGAAATTGTTTTTAATCGTTTCGCTGACAATAACGGATCATTTTAAATGTCATTTATCTTTGAGTGCTCGCATTGTTTCACGAAGTACCATTCGCGAGCCGCGATTATAATGTTATACAACTGATACGCGAATGTATAGCTCAGGATAATTTTTTACCTTTTTGTCGTTTTTTTATTTTTACTCCTGAAGGGGAGTCAGAGGGTCAGATGGTCAAGGGGTAATATTTAAGGGCCCACAGTACTACTATTGAGTTTTAAGAGGTGAAATAAATGGACAGTGTACAACAGTGCTTCTCACACTCAAATATGCTCAAACGTGGATGTCTAAAATAAGGCGCACTATTATTGACTTTTGATCCCCTATATTTCGGAAACTGTTCAATTTACGAGCCCATTGGAACTTTTCATCAAGGCATAATGAACTACATCATATCAAAAGTTCAGCTAATTTAACACGTTGACTGCCACGTCACCTTTCCATTATGGAACTAAAACAATTCATTCCGAAATTGAAATTAAAATGTTAAATAAATTTGAGTAGGACACAGTTTAGCGAGGTTACGATAATAAGTACCCAAGACAAATCTTAAGTTATGCAGTTTACAATTCATTAAAATCGAAGTTTTGGTCTCGTTTAAAATTGTACAGTTTTGGTGTGGCGGTCAACGTGTTAACCGAGGGCCATTTTCCATAAGATCTGTGCGGGGTGTTTTCTGCGACATATTTATGGTTCCATATGATAAAAGGAATCGTAACTTTCACTTTGCCGGTTAACGAATTCAGTGATTTTAATCTGATAAAGAAATATGTCGGTGTATTCTCGCGTGTAAAAGAAGCAGGATCACATTTTATCCTCCTCGTAGTATTTATCTTGCCTCGTATCGTAGAAAGCAGACTCGCGACTATGAAACGATTAAGATAAGAACGGAGTCGCCGTTATTATAGTCGCCGAATATTTTACAATTCTTCAAGCGGTTACAATCTATTTCTTGAATTTATTAAGTGTTGGTCTCGTGTCCCTCCAAAAATTAATGGGGCCCTAATCCTTGCGAATGCGTGTTTCATTCCTGCTTATTTATTTTTTATTTCATTTTCGTGCACGTCGTACAGTCTTGTCGCGGAATGTATTATTACCGGCTTGCAACAATAGTCAACTATTTATGTACAGACGGGGGCCTCGCGTGCACGGATTGCATTACGAAACAACCGAACGAAAAAATCAACGAAGTAATTAATGAGGGGCGTGTACACGGTGTTCATTACACTTGGTAAGTTATGATGTTCGTTGGAAATTATAGTAATTTACATGGTACCTGCAATTCAATTAATTAGATTTGCTAAAACTGTTCCTTGGAACCTACAAAATACTTGTATATCACAGGCCTCCGATAAATCGAAGATCTACTTTCCCTTTCTCTATAACGATTCGCTGGGCGAACGAATCAAGCGCGTACATAGATTCCGTTTTTGTTTTAAACGATGTTGCAATTACTTAAAAGGATATCAACGAATATGTAGGAAGGCGCGGGAAGAGGCGTGAAGTCTCGGTGAACTCAATTGGACACGCTTTCTGTTTTTACTTCGTCTTTAGAACGGGCGGTTACGCTCCTCGCTCGAATAATAAATACAACGACTTTCCATTTTCAACGGGAATGATGTTCTGACTATTGCAGAAAGAAATCGCGGGTGGACCTTTGTAAAATCCAGTCTTGGCCAAGAATCCAGCATAGGTCCATTTTACCAAACGCTTTTTGCCCGATTGCCTTTAAATGATCTTGAAACGCCGTTCTTGATTATTCCAAGCACAAACTCGTTTAGCGTCGTTGTCAATTTTCTTTTCAAATCCATACTTTCTACGTTGCCTTAGCCATGCTCCCAACATTTTTATAGCGTAAATTAATTTTTCCTATAATTTTAAATCGTGTTAATATTTCTCTAGAATATTTAAATAGCTCTCGGAATCTCTTTCTATAATTACGGCGCTAATTACACCGGAGTAAGAAATTATACTTTACACTCTGCAGAAGCCAACGGATGAGCGCCTACTAAATGAATATCGTTCTTCTTTCCGCAGATCGTTGCAATAATATCCATCCGGTCTATTCGAATTAAATTTGTTTCACGAGTCGATCAGTTATTTGTATTTACGCCTTTAACAACGAAGTAACCTCGAAAAAATTTGAGTTCGATCGGATAACAGGAAAACGTGCCCCAAAGCCCTCGAAGCTTAACGCGCGCTGTAATGTCCGAATATGTGCAAAAAAAAATCCGGACCGGAATTTTCTATATATCCGGGGTGGAGAAACGAAATTCGACCCAACCACGGGAGAATCGTCCGACGAAAAGAATGAACGACGTACACCAAGGATGAGCAAACAGTGAGCACGCCTCGGATTACAAGGCAGTTGCTCGTCTCGTTAAAAAGTTGTGCCACATACATATCGGATGACAGCTACGAATTCAAATTTAAATACTTCCCTGTTTCCAATCGTATCTTCGGAGGAGTATCGTCGGTCAATTGGCTAGGTTTCCCTCGTCAAAAAGAGTTCAAACACGACTTTATTCGGACTATGTTTAATTTAAAGTTCTTTATAAGGGCTCGAGACAATTATTTTCAAGGTATGAAGGAAATGGAATGGAGGATCGCGAGGAAGGGTTGAGCATGGTTCGGATTCGTGGACGCTAGGCGTCGCGCGATCGCGGTATTCAGGTAAACAAGGAACATATGCCCTTGCGTCAGGGCGCAAAAAGGTGGGGGCGGTCGAAGGGAAGCGACGTTAACTCGTACTCACACAAGAACGCGCTTCTGTCACAGTCACGGTGCGTCAGCTGAGGTGGATGCGCGCTGGCCTCCATCTATCTTGCTCCGAAACATTCTTTCTCCCGCGTTTACCTACCTTCGTTCGTCCACTCGAGATTACCTATGGAATCGTGTCTCCCCGGGCTTATACTAACACCATATACGAACGTAAAAATTGATGAAACTTAAAAATCTTAGCAATTTATACGGAATTTAATCGACGTAACGATATTTTAGTTTTGAAGAACGATATTTTAGCCGCGAGTGCGAGCAGTTTGAATATAAATAGGTAGTCGAACGATATCCGTAAATCTAGTTGCTCGCCGTAGGTGTACGTTGAATTTAGCGAGTAACTGTATGCAAGAAGGACTAAGCTGTAGACAAGAGCGGAGTAGGAGGGAAGGAAAAGATAAAGAAACGGTTACGAAGTACCGAGTGCGAGAGGGAGTCGGGCGAAGAAAAAGTACCGGTATGGTGGGGCGATATAGCTGTATAGGAAGAGCGTGTCGGCGGCGTTGGGACGCGGGCGTCGGTGGGCATCGAAGGTGTACGCGTGCATGGAGACAGGGGAACGCGCGCGCGAACACAACACAGAAAGAGAGGGAGAACGAGCGAGGGAGATAGAGGGAAGACTACCGGTAGACAGAGGAGAGCGGTAGAGGAGCACGGAGAAGCAAGTTGGCAGAGACAGCGTCGAGAGAAGCGGTCGGTGGCAGTTCGAGTCTGTCGTCAGATCGGGAAGCGAGCGACGCTCGATTAGAATCGGAATCGTTGCCGACGTGTCCACGCGTTGTGTTTGGTTCGGTTCCTATCGTTCTCTGCGTAACTGGTTCGAGGCGGTGCGATCGGGAACGTTTGCTCGCGACGGATCGACATGGGTTAAACCGATCCTCTGACGAACGGTGATCCGACGATGCCTCGCGAGTAGATCTTCGATAGAGGCCTGTGACTCCGAGTGAAAATAGTACAAGTGTACGCGCTAAGAGTTCTCCGGATCGGGAGGAAGTGTTAAGCCGTGCAGCTTGGACGACGCTTCGTACGACCGTTCCTTTCCTTCTCGGATCGGTGTTTATAGGAAGCGGCGTAAAAATATTTGCTCGATCGTTACGCGAGAGAGAAAGAGAGAGAGAGGAGAGACGGAGCGACGCGAGAACGTTGTATCGTTTGAACCGAATGAACCGTGCGCGTCGACGTCGACGTCGAAGACGGGGACGACGGGGATAGCAGTCGTCGACGACAGCGCGACGAAACGCGGATAATGCGGCATCTACGTGACCGACCGAGCAGCGATCACCGATACGAGAGAAGATCAACCTCGACCTCGAAACGCGCCGCCGACGGTGTAATCCCGAAGAGCTTGTACAATCGGGGAATAGAGAATAACGAGGGAAATATTATTTTGGTTCCCCGGTAACCGTGCGCGATACCTAATAGAAAACTGTTTGAATTACCCGGCGACCGCGAGCGTTTACGAGAGACGCGGTCTCGCACTGGTCCAAGAGAAACCGTTAATCGAGCCTGGATCGGATCGAGCAAAGTGGGACAAAGTGCAATAATCCTACTTAAGGAAGTACCTACGTTCCGCGTGCATCTTCGCCAGACGTAGGAGGCCAACGATCCTCGGAAATCGTTGAATCGCCGATCGGTGGTCGTCGGGAAACCTTTCGCGGTTCGGATGACCGGGCGCGTTAGCATAGTATTAGAGTAGGGAAGGCTGCAACGAAAACGAAGTACCTTGTAACGTACCAAATAAATCGATTAGGTCGTCTGTCTTTCTAAGAAATTCACAAGCGAGAGAGAGAGAAGGAGATAGACTAGCGACGAGTGCCAAGAGGAAAAGGACAAAGCGATCGTTATCGAGTATATCTTTGATCGGACGCGTGGTATCTTTTCCTCGTTGTTCGTTTGCGCAAACGGCGAGAGGGGAGGGGACGGTGAAATTGTGTTTCGACAAAGATCAACGACGATCTTGCGAAATACGTAACGACGATTCGTTGATCGACGGCAAATGCGAACGGATCAGCGAAGATAAACCCTGGTTCGGAGCGATCGCGCGACCGACGACGCTTCTCGAATACGAAAAGAGTCGTTCGTCGCTGTAGTGCGCAACAAGTATACGGGAAGCACGTGACTGTTGGAGCAGCTAGCAAAGCAAACATCCGAGCAGCGCAGATAACGCGTCGGAATCGTCGACCGCGAATCTCCGAGCAACGCTGAAGCAAAGTACTCGCTGGCCGGGTTCGAAGGAAGCGGACGAGGATCGTAATCGGTCGTGATCACCGAATCACGGAAGTCACGGAAGAAAAATTTTCGTCTGCACGATTCGTGGATTCGCTCGTGATCGTCGGCTAGCCACGAGGACGCCGGGCGAGAACTGGTCGAGTTTCGGTGGACGCGATAATCCTATTTCACAGGAGGGAGCAAATCTTTGAATGACTTTCCCATTTTGTGGTTTCGTTTTCGACTCGTCCGACGACAGGTCGAGACAAATGCCAGTCGCTTCGGAAGACTGGGTGCCGCACCCGGCCAAGATAACCAGTTCTATCACTACCGTGAAGGGTGCCACCATCCAAAGCACCACCACAGCTTGGATGTCGCCGTACAGCAGAGCCTCGCCCTCCGAACGTCCACCTTCGAACAACAATAACATCAACAACAACAACAACAATAATGGTGTTGTCATACTCGAAGGTTGCAGACCACCGGCCGCAACCACGGCCAGAAGATTTCTCAGATGGTTCAGCAGACTCGGACAACCACCGATGGGAAAGTCAGGTAAACCTTCGTCGTTCGTTCTCCACGATCGTTTCGTTTTTCTACGAATTAATCGATCCATGGTTTGCAAGTATATAATATGCGGTTAACGTACTGCAATATATTATAAATATTCTGAATCTAATGTTCGAAATCTTCCACCGGAGTTTATTCGTGTCATCGTGTCAATTTACCAACTCATATATTCCGACTTTCTTGTTTTCTTCTGTCTCCGATCCAATTGTAAACGCCTGTCAAGCTCACGCTGATCTAAATGTGTTAACAGAACTGAATCTGCATTTTCTTCGAACGTTAAACCATTCTGGCAATTCGTTCGTTCTGTCACCCGAGATCGTAAGAACTATGCGCGCACGTTTTGCCAGGACGTTCAATTTACAGAGTTCTATCGTTGAAATGATTCGTCAAATACGTTTCTTCCGTTTATTTGGACGATAAAAGTTGCAACGTCGCGATTTCGACTGCGACAAAATGCGAAGTCGTCGACCTTTTTTTTCGATATTTATTGTCTTTAATTCATTTGCATCGGCAAGCAGTATATTTCACTGTTGCGAAATGCTAGTTTTTAATAAATAATTAACGTACAAATACAGTGACCCGTTAAGACCGAAGGTAATATTTGTAATCGTAAATCTATCAGTTTCCATTGCAGAAAATTGTACGTTTCGTACGATTGTTGTCTTAAAGATGTTACAACTGACTTCTATTTCTAGGATACGCGTAACCTTGGCACAGTTTTCACCTGTGACCTCTCATTTCCCGAGGATATTAAAGGTCGCCTGTACCATTTACAAAACCTTAGAGCTTACTTGGAAAATGCCATTACGTTGAGACTAATATATTGTTCGTTTGCTGGATCGATCTTAGATTGTAGGATCTCAATCTGGTCTCTTTCACTATAGGCCGATGTAACGCCATTGAAAATGTCCAGCGCAAATTCCTGCGTATATTTGTTCGCTCTAAATCTCCTTTCATATGCTCTAGTTACGGTTATGATATCATGCAACGCGATTTAAGTTTATTGTCGCTCGAAGAGCACCGAATTCTTTTTTGATCTTCTATTTTTGTACGTATAAACGGTCTCGTCTCGCGTCGACGTTCATACTTGTTACAGATTTTTCACGATAAACATAAAACTAGCGCGGTACAAACAGTAAATACGTATGTAATTTTTCTGCTTTACGTATCAAAGTTATTTTCCCTCTGTTAAATAAATAAATAATCTCCGTTTATCGTTTCGTTCGCATCGAAAATACAACAGTGCGAAACAGTTGCGGTAAAACTTCGGTTATTTTAATTAAACGGTGCTCGTGTGTATTGATCTTTTTCAAGCGGTCGAAAAACTACAGTTTCTAGAGAGGTTCTAGAAAAACTTCGAAAAAGGGTCGTGCGTGTGAGGCCAAACATCAAGAACAACTGGGTGTTGCATCACGACAGTGCGCCTTGTCACACAGCAATTTCAGTAAATGTATTTTTGTCCAGTAAAAATATTCCCGTGGCTCCTCAGCCCCCTTATTCGCCCGACTTGAGTCCTTGTGATTTTTTCCTCTTCTCGAGATTGAAAAATCACCTCAAGGGACGTCATTTTGGGACACTCGAAAACATTGAAGCGGCTGTAACCGACTAGCTGAAGACTATACCGGTATTCGAGTTCCAGCACTGCTACGAGGATTGGAATAATCGTCTCCAGCGCTGTGTGGCTTTCCAAGGAAGTTATTTTGATTGAGGCAATATTTGGTTGCACTCGTAATTGTACTTCGTAAGATTCATTCGGTATTTTAAGTAAAACAGTTTATGTGGATTCCGCACGAATTAAATGAAAAGCAATATCAACGACGTATCGAGGTCTGTTATGTACGATAATTTGTTGAATCGTATTATAACTTGCGACGAAGAATGTCTTTTGTATGACAATCGACGAATATCTTTGCAGTGATTATATCGCGAAGCTTCAAAGCGTATACAGAGGCCATCGTTAAAATTCATGTTTCGCGGTGGACAATGACAGGTGCATTGTTCGTTGTTCATTTTTAAATTCCGAAGGAAATCATTTTGCAAGAAACAACCAAAGTTGGTCCCCCTTTCAAGCTGTAATACTCTTCCTTGAACGTCGAATCACTGGACGAGCTTCGAATATATTTAAAGTTTCCATTTAAAAAATAGGATATCGTTTTAGAAGCGCAGCTTTCCCCGGTTGCGTGGGTTGCGCTGTATTTGCAAAACGTTTTAGCTGTTCTGTTACCTGTATCCTGCCGCGTAGCAGATGTTTCCTTTCATTTGTTTATCCCCTATGTAGTCGCACGCGAGTAAACGGAGCAAAGGAAGTACTCGAAGAGCCGCGCTATTAGTTCGTCGAAACTGCGTGTTCGAGGCAAACTACGACATAGGAAACGAGGCATGGCTTTGTTGAAATTTCCTTCGACGAAAATAATTGAATATTCCGTACCGTGTACGCCGTTCTATGCGTCGCGTAAATTTCTGTTTCTTTTAAAGCGACGCGCCGTAGATCGACGATTAACAAAATTACCATCCGACCTCGGTGCAGTCGCGTTTGCGCGCCAGCTAGATCGAAAAGAACAAGATTGATGTACGTTGAAAATAGCCTACGCGAACGTAATCTCGTCGTATTATAGTTAACCGTACGATACTGTTAGTCATCGCAGGTGTTCCGTGCATATGGCAATAGCCATTAATAAAAGGACCGTGCTCGCGAGGTTAACACACACTCCGCGCGGTAACAGATAATTGAAGAGAAGCCGTATGATGCGCGCAATTAATACCGAAGTATTACTGTTAACGGTGGTTTCTTGCGATTGGTGCAACTCTTTCCGTGTCGAAAATAGCGCGAGCTTCCACGCCGGCATGTCGCGCGCCGTGTCCGTTCAAATCGTGACGACGCATTTTATGTACAAGGTGGCGCGTTTCAAGGGATAATGCACTATATATAGAGGGGTGGAACATCTGGAATCGTGTGAAATAAAAATTGTTACGAGAGCCGGCCCCCACGGACGCTGACACTGTCCGAGTTTCCTTTACGTAATTTTTCCCCCAATCGAGGTAGTTAAATAACCCGAGGAACGATGCGCCAAGGTTCCTTTTCGCATTCGGAACGCTCGAGTACCAGCATATTTTATTTTGAAAGATGTACGTAAAAATGCATAAAATAACGTGGAGACCGTGGACCATTCGATACCGTTTAATTTTACCCCATGACCTTTTTGTCAGTCTCCAAGTGACACCGTATAGTGGGTAACGTAATATCCGAGAATCGCTTTTGGCGGGAGAATTTGAAAGTATTAGCGTCGTCGTTATAAATATCGTCGATTTCGTAACGAACGTTCGACGCGGTTTGCTCGTTCGCGTTCCCTGTTGGAAATAATTAACCGGCGCGGAGCGTGCGGAATGGCTGTCCGCAACCGTGCCTTTGTTTCCACGCGTAAAATCTCTGCACCGATCAGTGTCAAGTTCCTGGTATTTAACGATGCGTCGAGTATTTGGTGCAACATACTTGGGCTACCGTGACGAACGCAGAATCGTATTAACGGGTCTACCATTGTACGATCCATCAACAGGCTATACCTTTTTTCACCGCGTTTTCCAGCTATACGCACGAAAGGAAGTTGCATCGTAGGAACTCATTGACTTTCAAAATTGCACTCCCCCTGTATTTGTAACCTCGCGTCGAGTGTCGTTTGCATAACGCTTATTCCTCCTTCCTCGCTCCGAGAACCGGTGACCCTTCTTTAAACTCGCGACGTTAAAGTTCGCCCGCCGCGATCCGAAATTGACCGTTACCGCGAGCAAATTAATATTTATGTTATCGTACAATCAGATAACGTATCGCTTTTCCGCGCGGTCGTTATTTTCCAGCAAACGCCGCGTCTAACGTTTTTCCACATGAACCTTTCCGGTGCTAACGATCAAATATTTATTAATCCTCGTTGGGTCTCGATTCACCAAACTTTCGAGGGAATTAACGCTGCACGGAAGACGGATGTGCTTTGCATTTATAAATTCTCTCTTTCTCTCCGTTGTAAGATAGTCTTCAATTAAATTCCATCGACAAACCGTAAAATTCAGAATTAAAAGGCGTACGAACGTTAGAAGAAACTTGGAGCAGAGAACGTAATTACTTTTCGTTAAAAATTATTCCTAATTATCGCTTATGAATCGCAATCTCTTTCACGGCTTGCAGTACTATACTTTTACATAAATAAAACTCGTCCGTCATTCATCTTCGTTCGCATATTTTATATTGAATTTCGGCTCGGCGGTTATTAAGAGATATTTCTTGATATTTCGTGGGACCGGGTTAACGTTCGGACGTTTACGAAGGTAAATTGCGCGTGCAGGCTAGATGTCGTTATTTATTGCTTTTTCGTATTAACTGCGATCGGCGGAGGCGAGTTTGATACCGCGAAGAAATTTCAACCGGCCAGACGTGACGGCAACGAACGATAAACGAGTAATTGCGTAACGCGAGGTACATCCGAAAGCAGAAATCATGCTTCTAATGCAACGCTAATTAAGAAAGTAATCTGCAATTAATATACGACGAAGGTTGTTAATTCGTATCATAAATATACAAAAAATCTCTAATTATCAATAGATTCGTGTTACATATTTATATTGTTTTTTTTTTCTTTACAATTTTTCTTTTACCTCGACTCGTACACGATTCAAAAGCTACGTGGCGCTACGTCGAAATCGACGATTCTCGACCAAAGAATTCGAAATTCGAGGCTAGAATTCGTTTTTGGATCGATGTGGATCGCACGCGTGACGTAACACAGGTTGCATGTGTGGTGGTTTTACGTTCGCAGCCCACACGTGGATTCGCGCGTGTCGCCGCCGTGTAACTTATCACCGGTGTTGTAAGAATCGTTACAGAATTTATTTTTAAAAATTCTTCGCGTCCCTCCGAGACGTATATCAAATCGAACAACAAAACATTTCAACAAATATAGTATCGGGCAGAGTTGGCTGCTGCTCTTCGATAAATA